TCTATTATGCATTTCTAATATGGGCTATTTGGAAGTTTTAACTATTGATTTATGACTTTGTTTATTGTCTGAACATTCACCCATTGTCGGATGCATAGATTACATGTGTTTTCTTCCACTCCACAAGTTTTCTCTTCTCTCTGACTAGCATTTCCTTTACTTTATAGAAACTTTATGGTTTGAAGTAATCCTATTTGTCTACTTATAATTGTCTTTTGTGCTTTTGAGATCTTCTTATGAAATCCTTCCCCATTTCAATGTTCTGCATAATTTTCTGGTAGATTTTTGTTTTCAGATCTTCCATTAAATTTTTATAATCCATTTAGACTTGATTTTAGTAACTAATGAGAGATAGAGGTCCAGTGTTGTCCTTCTGAATGCAGAGATCCACTTTTCCAAGCACATTTTTTTGAAAAGACTGCCTTTTCCCCCTAATGTGTGTTCTTAGCACTTTTCTTGAACCTCAGCTGACTTGAGATGCGTGGGTTTCTCTCTCTTTTCCCATTGGTCTGAAGGTCTGTTTCCAAGCCAACTGCAACTGATCTGATTGCTGTAGCTTTGTAGTATATATTAAAATAAGGCAGTGTCTGACTTTCACTTTGTTTTTATTGGTAAAGATGGCTTTGGCTATTGGTGCGTGCATGCTTGCGTGTGTGTGTTTGTGTGTGTGTGTGTGTGTGTTTCTGTATAAATCTTGGACAACTTTTTCTAGTTCTGTGAATTAGTGCAATGCTATCTTCATAGAGATTACCTTGAATCTGTAGATCATTTAGAATAGCATGGACATTTTAAGATTATTATTTTTTCCAGCCTGGAAACATGTTTTTTTTGTTGTTGTTTTTCATTTTACTGTGACTTCAACTTATTTCTTTAACATTATGTAGTGTCCATTTTCAGGATTTTTCACTTTGCTTGTTAATTTTTTCCTAGATCTTCATTTACATTTGTAGCTTTTATGCATGGTATTTTTGTCTTCATTTCCATTTCAGATGATTTTATTTTGTCATAAAGCAATACTCCTGGCTTTTTATTTCATTTTTATTTTGTATTCCATAATATTGCTGCATTTTTATTAGTTCTAAGAGTAATTTGTTGCAATTTTTTAGATCTACATATAAGATCATGTTTTCGACAGTGACAGTTTCACTGCTTCTTTTCCAATTCAGGTGTCCTTTTTGCTTTTTCTTGCTTGGCTGCTCTGACTGGTGAATAAAAATGAAAGAAGTAGGCACCCTTGTTCTTGATCATGGAGAGGAAGGTTTCAACTTGTTGCCTTTTAGTATAATGTTAGCAATTGGCTAGTTACATATGGTCCTCATGATATTGTGGTGCCTTCCCTAACATTCCTACATGTTCAGTGATTTTATTTTTTGATACACATTTTCTGCATATATATATATATATATATATATATATATATATATATAGAGAGAGAGAGAGAGAGAGAGAGAGTCTTTGATGTTCATTCTTGTGATAATGTTTACAATTGTTATGGAATTCCACATATTGACACATGTTTGAATCCATGGGAATTATCTCATATGATAATACTGAAAAAGCTTTATAACATGCTGTTGGATTTGATTGGCTGAAATTTTTCGAGGATTATTTTACCTTTTTTGATCTAGGATATTGGCCAATACTTTTTATGTCATGTCTTTGTGAGGTTTTGGTGTCAGGGTATTGTTGGCCTCATAGAATGTGTTAGGGAAAAACTCTTTTCTCTTTTATTTCTTGGAACAAATTAAGAAAAGTTAGTGTTATATGTCCTTTATCTCTTTAAATTCCAGAAGGGAAATGTTTTCTCTTTGATGAGAGTTTTTTCATTACTTACTCAAACTTATTGCTTCTTACTCATTTACTCAAGTTTTCTATTTCTTCCTGATTCATTGTTAGTTCTTGATCAGGTATGTGCATCCAGGAATTTTTCCTATTCTTCTAAATCAACAACCTTGCTGATACAGAGGTTCATAAAAATATCTGATGAGTCTTTGTATTTCTAAAGTATCATGTGAGATTAATTCCCATTATTTTTTTTTTCTTCAGTACTAGGTTTGAACCCAGTACCTTGCACCTGCTAGGCAAATGTTCAATTACTAAGCTATATCCTTCCTCCCTACTTATCCACTTTTTATTTAAGTATGTCTTTTTTTCATTTTTCACCTCTAAATATGAGTGAATCAATTTTCCTGATCTTTTTAAACAAATGGCTCTTCATTTTATTGATTGTTTCCATTTGTGTTAGTGTCAGTTCCACTTATTTATAGTCTCTTCTTCATCATTTTTTCCTTGTAAAATCTTTGTTTGTTTGGTTTGGTTTGGCTCTCTTATTCTTATTTCTTGAGATATACTGGTAGGGTGTTTGAGTTCTATTTTGTTTTTGTTGTTGTTGTTGTAGGTATTGGTTGGCATAAACTTACCCTTTCACATTGATTTTCCATATCTCATTGTTTGTATTTTGTATGTTGTATCTGCCTCTGAATTTATTTCATGAAACATTGAAAGTTTTGTTCATGAGTTCTCCATTGATTCATTAGTTTTTCCAAGATAGATTATTCCACTTTCAAGTAATTTTACAGTGCCCAAAGTATCTCTTTCTAGTGATTTCTGGTTTTCCTGTATTAGGCTGAAAAAGATTATATGGTTTAAATTAAAACATTTGTTCATACTTGTCTGTGATTGGTCACGTAATGCATTCTGCAGAGTATGCAATGTGCTGATGACATAGATATGCAGTATCTAAGGGTTGGATGGAATTTTCTGTAGATGTCTATTGGGTCTGTTTTGTGTAAGGAGAAATTTAAAGCTTGTTTCTTCACTAATTTTCACTCGGTTTAATATATATATAGCTGAAAGTGGAATAATAAAATCTCATAGTATTATTTTATTATAGTATCATTATCTCCAAAGGAAAAAAGAGACACTGTAATCTTCATATAATATTTATGTATTTGGGTGCTTAGATTTTGCATACAAATATTTGCAATTTTATTACCTTTAGCTAAATTGACCCATTTATCATTTTATAATTATCCTTTTGTGTTTTTGTTGCTTCTTATTTTAACTTCATTTTATCTGATATAAATATGGCTACTTTTTTTCTCTTGTGGAGTTAATCTGCATGAGATATCTTACTTTATTGTTCAATATCCATGCAACATTACTTAGATATAAAATCAACCCCTTGAAAGAAACACATAGTAGTTTCTTGGATTTTTAATGCATTTATACACTCTACATCTTTTAATTGGAAAATTTAATCCATTTACATGTATTATAATTAGCATAGGGACTTCACCTCCATGTCGCATATAAGTGATGGATGGGCAAGAATCAGATCAAGCAGGGTGAACACAGTCATCTTATCCCAATCTCAATCCTCCCTTCATACATCCAGTGAAAAACATTGGGTAACTTTCTGTTGGTTTTCTTATTTTCTATTTTCATAGGTGTTTAAATATATTTTCATGTAAATTCCTCTGATATAAATTTATAAATATTCAATATTTATAAAATATTCATCGTCATCTGGGGGATTATCATTATAATTGAGATACACTTACTTATGTGTAAAAAGTAAGATATTCCGTATTGTCTGATACAGTGTTATTTAAATGTATTAATCCCATTTAAGAAAATATATTTTAGTTGTACTCTCTATAATAAGCTTAATGTCCTACTGAAATTAAGGAAAAGGGGAAGCCTAGAGAGAGGAAATGGGGTTACAAAATAGTTTATGAACCATAAAGGAAGATGAAGAGATAAAGGAAAAAATATCACTGAAACAACTTTAATGGAGACATATCTGTGTAATGAAAACTTGATGTGTTGGAGGCAGGGTTAAAGATGAGCACAGTATAGATCTTAGAATGTTCTTTATTGTACCTGGGCACAAAGGAGGCACAGCATCTTCCAAAGCTTCTCAGAGTGGTGGAATCAAGGAGAAAAGAGCTGAAACTAAACAGGGCCAGATCTTTAGGAATCCTCTTGTTACATGTATGCTCAGTTCTGCCAAAAACAAAATATTTCATACTCTTCTACCTTACTCTCTGAATTGTGCTTTTCTTTTATTATTCTTTTATTCAAGTATAATTTTGAAAACTGCTAATGCCTACATCAATAGTCTGTGAGGCATTAAAGAATGGCTTCATGTCTATGCTATGGAAGACAAAAATTAAAAAAAAAAAAAAAAAGAAATTCAGCAGGGTGCCTTAGCACACACCCTTGTAATCCCAGCAGCTCTGGAAGCTGAGGCATGAGGTTTGCCACTTCAAATCCAGCCTCAACGAAAGCAAGGCACTAAGCAACTCAGTGAGATCTGTCTCTAAATAAAATACAAATTAAGGCTTGGGATGTGGCTCAGTGGTCAAGTGTCCCTGAGATCAATTCCCAGTACCGTCCCCAACCCTCTCCCCCCAAAAAAAGAAATTTACCTTCACCAATCATTCCATTGGTGTGCATCTGGAATGTGAGCATGTTATCTTTGGTGTGTAAACCACAGGCTGAATAAATTGTTGCATAGAGATAAGGGTAGAGGAGATTGCTTTGAACTGCATTCAGGTACCTAGGATTCCATGGAAAAGGTCCTAGGCTTATGAAAATGGTCACCTTTTCTTTGTTTTAACATAGTAATTGATCAAATTGGTTGACATGACAAAATTATACATGAATATATCTAATATAGTTGATACATTAGAATTTAGACAGAAAACAATATAAATAATATTAAAATTACATAAATAAATTCAAGTTTGCCTTGTAATTTTGGACATTTCACTTAGTATCACAGGATGTACATACTTATGTGTATACATATTAAATCATGAATATAGGAAAATCAAATGAATGATTCCATATTTACAACACAAGAAAAAAATGACCACATTTTGTATTTCAAACTTCTACAAATAGGAAAATTACAACAATACCAGGAAACAAACACGTTGAGGAACTCTTATGATACAGTCAAACGTAAAACTTGCAATTTGTTCAATTAATTTCTACTGAGCAAAACAAACTTTATTGATAAGTTGATTACTCCCAAACACTTTCTTCATTGCTGCTTTTATATCTTTGTTCCTTAAACTGTAGATGAGGGAATTCAGCATGGAAATAAATATGGTGTAAAATATCGATACTATCATGTCATGCTCCAAAGCATAGTTGGATGTTGGTCTTACATACATGAATAAACCAGTACTATAAAAAATGGACACTGCAGTTAGATGAGAGCCACAGGTGGAAAAGACTTTCCGCTTCCCTTCAGCAGAACGTATCCTCAGAATAGCCAACAGAATAAAACCATAGGAGATCAGGATGGTTAGTATAGTACATATCTCAATAGAGCCAGCAAAGTAGAAGAGCAGAAGCTGATTGGGGCGAGTGTCAGAACAGGAAATTGCAAGGAGAGGAGGGATGTCACAGAAGTTGTGGTTGATTATGTTGGATCCACAGAAGGACAGGCTTAAAGTGACTGTGGTGTGTGTTATAGCATGCAGAATTCCACCAACACAGGAAGCCAAGATGAGGCCATAGACTGGTGACATGCTCACTGAATACAGAAGTGGGTTGTAGATTGCCACATAGCGGTCATAAGCCATGGCAGCCAAGAGAAAGCACTCTGTGGTTCCACAGGTTACAGCAAAAAACATCTGGGCTGCACAGGCACCAAATGAAATGGTTTTCTCCCTTGACAAAAAGTCTACCAACATATTTGGAGTGATAACAGAGGAATAGCAGGCATCTAGTGAAGACAATACGCCCAGAAAATAGTACATTGGGTTGTGTAGCTGGGAATCCCCAATGACCAGTACAATCAGTCCTAAATTTCCCATGAGAGTAAAAAGGTAAACCCCTAGAAACAGGAGGAAGAAGAAGATCTGCAATTCAGGATTGTCAGTGAAGCCCTTCAACACAAATACAGTTACTTCAGTGACATTCTTCATGCTGAAATCTCATGGAACACACTTGAAGATGATCATAGAGTGACAGTGGACCCTTAGTAAGAAAGAATGAACAGCACCATGACTGGAAGGTACAAGAACTGTGCCTATAGATGTGTATGAATATATTCTTTACAGTGTCTAATTTCTCAGCAGCAAAAGACAATGTGAATCAACTGATCATTTCCATCACTGAGGAATAATTTGGAAGTTATGGTTGTTAACAAAGTAACCAAACTTGTGCCAGTTTCTTTAAATGATCAGGACAAATTGTTATTGTACTGCTTAGTTCACTTAGCTCTTTCCATATAAAATAACATTAAAGCAAAAATGTATATGTGTGTTGAAAGATGCAGAATTCTGATCCTTTTCCAATATTATATATTATATATATTCAAAAATATATTTAATAAATATGTATTTGATAAGTATATTTTGAATTTCATATATTCATAAATGTACATTTGATAATTTAATATATATTTGATACATATACATATTTATATATATATATATGTATATATATATATATATATATATTTGATATCTACATACTTGAGATCTTATGTCAGAGCCAAATTTTGGAATAGAATCAGATTTCTACATCTTTCAACAATTGCATTCAATGATTTGAAATAAAACACTCATGTGACAATCTGTATGCTAGTATTTATTTTACATTACTAAAGTAAAAACAAACAGCTTTGTGTTAAAAATATGGTGAATTAGTTTGTTTTTACAGAGTATTCTTTGGAGATAATATGCATTTAATCACACAGGATTATTATATTTTTTTCCTGTACCAACACTTTATAGTCCTGAATTACTCTTTAGAGTAAAAATGCCTGGCAAATTTAGTTATTTGTGAAAAAGAAAAAAAAAATTATACACTATCGAAAATTACATTTCCATTTTCTATTCCAGGGGGATTTTGCTTTGAGGAAATTGTTTTCAGCTAAGTTCTTCTTGAGACAGGGATGACACCCATATGCTACAAAAATGTAATATTATTTCAATACATCAATATTAACACATGTTCAAAGGAATCAGTTATTAAGGGAAAGCAACTATGATTCTTGAAGATAGTATAAATCAGTTGTAAATTTAATTCAGATCTACCTCTACAAATCCAGTCTCAATTGATGACAGAAATGGCAAATTATCTTGGGCTTCATCAGCAAATTCTAAATCTGAAAATGAAGAGAGAAATGATAATACCCATTCATTAAACCCTTAGTGCAGAAACATTCTTTTGTGTATGTTATTTCACTTTTTGGACTTTCCCACATAATAATCACCAGAAAAAACATTCAGTGCCTCATCTCCCTCCAGAGTGGATTCAACTGGCCACACTGTTTTCCTGTTTCCTATAATATTTTAACTTCACTGTGTCATTGGACTCTACCCCAAGCAACACCCTTCCCCAGGAAATTAAAGCAAGTCTCAATTTTATGTTTTAGGATTTCTTAAGCCATTAAACCTAAAAGAAATGCTATGAAATAAGTAGCCATCTGAAAAGACTACAAGACTGTGTAGCGGGAATGGGACTTTTACTGTCCTTCTACAATTATATAAACAAAGAAGACCCTACAGAGTGGAAAACGTCCCATTTTCTTACCCTGTGTTGATTCATGATTATCTTTATTTTCAACTATCTTCCTCCATCATCAGCATGAAAGCACACAGGCAGTAAGGAGCACACTTATTGTGTAGTAAACATAGATTCAATATTTTCCACTTTTCTTCTTTTCCAAGTAGTTTGGATTTAAATTTCTAGGAAGAACTCTTACTGTATTAGACATTAATGAATATAAGAGATCTCTACTGTAAAGAACTGCTTATTACTTCTCCTTTGGTAGCTTAAATGTCTAGTACCAAGTAACAGACTTTCCTTTGATAGCCTAGGTTCTAATGCCCAGAATACCCTTCATAATTTCTGAAATTTTCTCTTACCAAAATATCAGCAAACATAAGCTTGGGTGAATTGTAAATGTGGCAAATTTAAACTGTTTACATCCCCTGAAGGAACTGTTGAGGAAACCCACAGCAGATGTCCCAAAGGGAATATGCCCAAATTATCTTCTGTTTCCACGGAGTAGTTTAATGATTCACTCATAACAAAGAGGAAATCATTCTAGCTGAGGGCCAAGCTGATGCTGTTTATTCAGTGAATAGCGGTCACCGACTTGTGTTTTAAATATTTTATGTTTGTATTTCCCTAAATATTGGCGATGTTGAACACACCTTTTGGCCATTTTCTTCATTGCATGAAGTACAGTAAGTTCCTTTGATAATCTGTAAATAACTGATTTTGTAACAACTGAGGTGTGACTTTTTTATTAATTATTTATTTACTTATGTATTTATTTTTGTTGTGCTGGGTATTTAACCCAGGGCCTTTCCTATTCTGGGCTAGTGTTCTACCACTGAGTGTCATCACAGTCCTTCCTTGTATGTTTGAAATATTGTTCACAATAGATTGCACTTTGTAAATATTTCATTTCATACCATTTTGTCACTTGCCTTTTCACTGTGCTGATTGCTTCTTTGTCTGGTAGAAGATTTTTAGTTGCATATAGTCTCACTCAACTTTTCTTTTTTGCTCAACTCTGATATGGCCACCAAGAAATTATGGCCATTTTGTTTTTGAGAGTTTTTTTTGTTTGTTTGTTTTTGTATTTTTTAGGACTTAGGTTTAAATATTTAATTCATTTTAAGTTGATATACCTATATGGAATCATTGGAAAGTCTGACTACATTATTTTGCATGTGGATATTTAGATACACTAAAACCATTTGTTGAGGATACTATGTTTTGCCAAACCTGTGTTCTTGAAATGATTGTTGAATATCAGTGGCCATATGTGCTGACTGTTTCTAGTTTGCTGATGGTGTCTGTTGCCCAAAATCTATTTTTCATTCCAGTACTTTATTTTAAAACTTATTTATTTTTGTTAATAAATTTATTTTAACTGACACATGAAAACATAAACTTATACATATTAATTGGTTAACATGTAGTGCTTCTATGTTTGTATTCATGATATAATATTTAAATCTGGTTAGATATTTATAGATATATATTTATATATTGTTTCAAATAACAAAATGATCTGTTTTTCTACCCACGTTGCCCCAAATTAAAGCATTTCATTGCTTCCTCTGTGCAAATCACATTCCATTATGTACGTATATAGCATATTCTGTATACCTGCATCTGTTGGTGAGCACTTAGGTTGCTTCCAGCTGAAGCTATTGTGAACAGTGGTGCCAATAACACTGGAGTGTAGAAGTCTCTTCAATTTGCTGATTCCATTTCCTTTATATGTGCAAAGCAGAGGGATGACTGGAGATCATTGCAGATTGATATTTTACTTTGCCATAATGCATGTTCTGACAACATTCCACCAACAGAGTGCAATTCTTCCCTTTTGTTTATGTTTTTACCTGAGCTTGTTTTCATTTGTTTTTGTTTTTCATTTGTTTGTTGTTTTTGGTAACCATCCCTTTCAGTCCTTTGAGATGACATTTGATTATGGTTTTGATTTGAATGTCTGTCCCAGGCGATGAGTGATTTGAATAGTTTTTTAATTTTTCTGTTCTACTTTTATGACTTGTTTCCAGAAATGTCAAAGTAGATCTATCATGTATTTCTAGTATGAGTTATTTAGGACTTTTAGCTATTGATTTTTGACATTTTTATAGAGTCAGAACACAAACCCTTTGTCAGAGGCACAGGTTCCTTGTATTTTCTTCCACTGCACAGGTTGTCTCTTTACACTGATGAGCATTTCCTTTACTTTGTAGAAACCTATGTTTTGAAATCATTCTATTTATCTACTTATAATTTTCTTTTATGCCACTGAGGTCTCCTTATGAAATCCTTCCCCATTTCAATGTTCTGAAGTATTTCTCCTACGTATTTTTCTGGTAGTTTCTTGTTTTCAAATCTCCCAATAAAGTCTTTAATAATCCATTTCAAGTTGATTTTAGTAACTAAGGAGGTGGGGGGGGACCAGTGTTGTCTTTTGGAATGCAGATATCCACTTCTCCTAGAATTTTTTGTCAAAAAGACTTTTTCCCTAATGTGTGTCCCTAGCACTTCTCTTGAACCTCATGTGGCTTGAGACACAGGAGCTCATTTCTCTCTATCCTGTCCCATTGGACTGAGGATCTGTTTTTAGGCTGATATAGCTCATCTGATTACTGTAGCTTTGTAATGTATTTTGAATCAGGGAGCCTACTGACTTCCTCTTTGCTCTTCTTGGTCATGTTAGCATTGGCTGTTGGGATGTGTGTGTGTGTGTGTGTGTGTGTGTGTGTGTGTGTGATTGTGTGTGTGTTTCTGTATAAATCTTGGGCAACATTTTCTAGTTCTGTGAATCAGTATGGTGATATCTTCACAGGAATTGCCTTTAAGCTGTCAATATTTATAGATACCATGATATTTTACATAGAAAATCTAACAGGTTTCATCCAAATACTCTTAGAATTAATAACAATGCAGCAATGTTATGGAACACAAAATCAAAACAAAAAAAACAGGAGCTTTGCTTTATGACCAAATGAAATCATCTGCAATGCAAATAAGATAGAAGCACCATGCACAAAACCTACAAATATAAATCCAGGTGGGTCAATTTTTCTTACCTTTTTGAAGAAACAGCTCTTCATTTTATTGATTGTTTGCTTTGTGTTAGTCTCAGTTTCATTTATTTACACTCTACTCTTTATCAGTTTTCCTTCTAAAACATTTGTCCAGTTCCTTTTGTTTTCCTTCTTTCTTATTGTTGTTTTTTGAGATGTACTGATAGGGTGCTTGAGTTCTTTTTTTTTTTTTTAATGTAGGATTGCTTGGTATAACCTCACTGCTTCATTCTGGTTGTCTGTATCCCATATTTTTGTTTGTTTGTTTGTTTGTTTATTTTGCATCTGTCTCTGAATTTATTTCAGGAAACATTTACATTTTCTTCATGAGTTCTCCCTTGATCCTTTAGTTTTTCCAAGGTAGGTTATTTCTTCTTCAAGTAATTTTATAGTGTCCAAAGTATCTCTTTCATGTGATTTCTAGGTTTTTTTTTGTTTGTTTG